TCTGGTATTGGGGCACAGAACATTAATTAACTCCATTGTGACAGTGCTGTCCTACAGCAGAGTAGTTACATGTGCTGCAGCATACATGTAGATTGTTATTGGGGCTGGCTGGGGCATGAGGGTGCTACAGTGGGGCTGGCTGCTGCCTGGCCCCGCACTGAATTATTCAGTTACTTTATGATTGGTATTAGAGAGAGGAAAAGCATTTAACTTCTCAAAGAAGTTCAAAGTTAGTTGTATAGTTAGAAAGGCTGTTGCTTCTAGAAGTATGATTTTTCTCAAAAGACATATTCTTCAATTTAAACAAAAAAACCTTTTCCCGAATGGTACTTACAGGCTTTGCTTTTTTGTAGTCTTCAGTGCGGAAAATAGTTGTTGTCATTTGACTAATCTTGATAGGTGAAAAACCTTCCCATGTCAGTGAAGAGACAGCTAAACTTAGATTTAGAACGTTCCTTTCCAGGATCCCTCGCGGTTTGTTTTGCTGTGTATGAACCCTTAACTTCAGTTTCCCTATTATGAAGATTTCTGTTACCATAAATGGTAAGGTATGAAAGAGTGCAGTCCTATTAAGATTAATTGCTGAAAAGCAGGAAGCTACATTGGTAGAACCAGCTAAAGAGCTGGTTCTGTTTTACATTAAGATCTCTTTACTGTGCCCTGGCAGGCCTGTTAAAGTTCCCTTTTCACTGCTAGCGATGGTAAGGGGGCTGCAGCAAAAAGTGAAATTGAGCTTAGGTTTGATTCAGAAGGAACAACTTACTAGTAATTATGAGAAGAATTTTTTTTGTAATTCTTGTATTTCACAAATAAGTGTAAGATAAATAAAGGAAAGCTGGAATCTTGTATATTATACCACAGCTGGACTGCTATGTATTGAGTGCATCTATACATGTGCTTTACTGCAGACTTGACTAATTAGTTCTGCAGTTAAGCGTCACAGTCTTTTCATCAGGGATGGGCAAAATATGGCCAGATCCCGTGGGCCAGCTCTGGCACGCAAAGGGGCTTTGTCTGGCCCATGGCAGGTTCCTTGGTCCCACCTGGCTGAGGTGCTGCCAGGCTGTGGCGCATCCTGCCACCCCCTGGGCATGCAGCGGGGCTGGGGTGGCTCCGCAGCTGGGCTGCCTTTCCAGGCAGCCCGGGCAACGGCAGCTCTTTCTGGCTGCCGCTACCACCCAAGCAAGGCTGCCCTGCATCTCTGTCACATCACTGCTGCCTCTGGGCTACCCTGTGGGGCAGTGGTGGCAGCACAGAACAAATGCAGGGCAGCCCTGTGTGACCTCTGAGCAGCTGAACCAGGAAGTGCCAGCAGCAGAAGGGGTAGGGGCTGCTTTTCCCCTGCACTGAGCAACAAT